TAACCTGTGAGTCGCGACACCTTAAGGGGTGGATTGACGATTTGTCAGGGGTCATCTAAGAGGCTAAGACCATAGAAAATATGGATTGTATTTTGTGTATTCTTCTATTGCTGTGTATGTATGGGGGTCGCGGCAGAGTGGGGGCTTAAAAGGTTGAGAACCGCTGTAATAGAATAAACTGGACCCCAAGGTTTTAAATAAGCTTGGCTTCGAATGCAGACAAGAGGAAAAAAAAGAGAAGAGGGGGCCATGAAAGGGATACGATATTGCCAATTATAAAGAAAATGATAAATGCTAAGGATTTAACGCCAATTGTAACTGACATGGCCGGACTTGCAGAAACGGCACAATGTAAATGCACCCATGTGTACATTTCGTTTACGGGCTATTAAAATAGTGTCGCTGCTAGTGGAATACACGGACATTAGCATGAGTGTATGGAGCAGACAAGAGAAGATAACCGCGCAGGTAACACATGCAGAGCTCAAGAGTAATGACACATAGTGAGTGACATAGTGCACAGGTGTTCACCGCCGCGCAGACAAGCGGCAATTAAACAAAGACAAGGGAAACCAACAAAGAAACACTGCCTTAAGTTTTGCATAACTCGCAACCGCCTTCATCAGCGGTTCTCAACCTTTTATGTTCGGCGACTCCTTTTAACAATCCCCCACTCTGCCGCGACACTCACATACAGCCCAATAGAAGAATAGACAATAACAATCCATATTTTCGATGGTCTTAGGCGACCCCCTGGCAAATCGTCAATCGACCCCCAAGGTTGAGAACCCCTGGCTTACAATTGAATCTCCACAGCCGTTCCCCCGGGACACCACTCCTCTAATAAGCCAAACAGGCAAGGTCTACATTACAGTTTGCACGAATTAAGTTACTCTATGAAGATTTGAAGGTATCTCGTACCTGTATTAACCATAACATTCACTAAGCCATAAAGTTTTTTTTTTTGCTTCCTCCGGTAATTCTTATCCTTTTTCTCTCCCCCCCTCCCCCCCCCCCCCACTTCTCAACTTAAGCCTACCTGCAGCAGTTACCTGGAGCTCGCCAATGGCTCCACCGCTACGCCTGCTCATTAAAATCTTCCCCCCAACACGTGTTGTCTTGGAGCAGACGGTGAATAACAAAAGCCACCTTCTCCCCAACCCCCAACTCCCAGAATGCCCCTCAAGTATAAGACCGGGCCAGCAACACTTTGAGTGGCGGAGGGATACATTATTACAGCGCAGTAATATCATTTATGGCGCAGAACTACATTGTCAAACAAAAATTTCCATGCCAGTAACCTCAATAAAAAAAATAAAAAATAATAAAACTACGCAGTAGAAAAGGTTAAAAAATTTTTTTTTCGTTTTTGTCATCGAAAGTATGACACATACAGCGAGACTGAGGTCGAGTTATTTGACAAACAAACAAAAATTTCAAGACATATCATCTACATCAGATAAACCATATAACGAAGTCTCACTTAAATTCGGTTGTGTTTTCTGCTGACCTTGCACACCTTGGGGCAGATGATGTGAAGGTCATCTATTTTGTAACAAGACTAATTGAGCTTCTGTCTTAAGTATCGTTTTTTTTTCTTCTAATAATTCTGAAATTTATTATTAGGAAACATCCTCACCTTTTATGTGTACTTTGTACTCCAATGTATTATGGTCTTTTCAACCATGCTTATAGCTTCTACAGCCGACAGTAGACGAGGGTGTCATATGGCCAGCACAACGACTAACCGCCTTTATTACCTTTGATGTCACGTGGTACATCGTGGCTAGGTCTATATACTGTCTGTCTGGCCGTGTGGTATTCGCTTAGGACTGTCGTCTCGATGGTCCCGGGTTCAAACCCTGCCCGCCAGTCTTTCCACTGTTGTTTTGCGGGAGGTTAGGGCTAGAATGTAACGATCATCAATTAGGAACCTTCGACACACGCACACAGAGAAACAAAACACAACCACCAAATGGAATAAATGTGAGAGCTTATTTCAGTGAGAATGGAACGGAGAAAACGAGAGAGTATTGAGCCCATGGAATTGATAAGTACAATTGATCACAATCATACCGTACTTTCTATGGAGTCTGAGTTTTGTATCGAACAAAGCAAAGACACTGTACTTGACAGATGTGGTGGTATAAGTCGAATTAGTCCCCTTCATACTCTGTGAAGAGAACTTGGTCGTCGCTTAAAAGTTTTAAAACCAACAATCAATAGCTATGAAACCTAAGCACTTCCCTGGCAAAGTGGTTAGTGTGTTGGCTTAAGCCCTCGAGTTCGAATTCAAGCTGAACAGCATTTTAAAATTATAAACATTTAAAGGCGGTAACATCCTTCACACAGATCCTCCCCTCCCACCCCCTTTCCCAACAGGTCCAGACAAGTTATAGGATCATAGGACATTGAGAAAGCTAAAAGCATGAAAACGATTGGTAAAAATATTTCTGATCGCACAGATTTATTACTTTAGTCTAAATCTATTACGAATGTAATTACATGACTGATCCAAACTATTGGATACAATTACACTTAATATAAGCGCTTGCCTGCCAAACCGGGGTCCGGGGTTCGAATCTGGATGTAGACTGGGATTTTTAATTTCAGGATCTTCGGTCGCCTTTGAGTCTACCCAGCTCTAATGGGTACCTGACGTTAGTTGGGGAAAAGTAAAGGCGGTTGGTCATTGTGCTGGCCACATGACACCCTTGTTAACTGTAGGCCACAGAATCAGATGACCTTTACATTATCTGCCCTACAGACCATAAGTCTGAAAGGGGAACTTTACTTTTTTTTTTACTTTTGTAAAGTAATTTTTATTTTCATTTCTCACGTGCTGACTCTTGGATTTCAGAATTCCTACTCTAGCAGTGTAGTATATACATAGCCGAATCTTATATTTACGAAATATGCAAACCAAATGACATACAATGAACTTTTTTTTTAAAGGTCTAAAATGGATGGCCGCCTGGTCGAATGTGCTTCGGACTTTCGTTAAGATGGCGCCTTGCTCGCTGACATCGTCTGCCGTTGTGCTGGAGGTTTTTGCTAGGATGTAAATATTTTTGTATTTCTCATTGCACGACAGAAACGCAAAGAAAATACTCCAACAAGCCTTTAGTCTTCTAGAGTTAGAGATAGTTACGTCTAAAAGTAACAAGCAGTTGTTAGCATCTGATTCCTAAAGAACAAGCCAATTGTTATGGAGTGTGTGTGTTTCTATGGCGACGGTGGTAATGCACAAATTGTAAGACTAATTTCCTAATGGATAAAATAAAGATTATTATTATTATTAAGTTATATTAAGTATTGTTCACAAGGAAGTTATTCAAGTTTTTCAAGTTTATTAGTTAAGATATATTACGCCTACAACGGTTTAGTTGTCAACCAGCAGTTTGCTGCTACAAGTCAACGACCGGTCGAATTTAAACATGACCCTAACTTCAATCTAATTGTCTATAGATCTAGATCTATATTACCTTCGATGTATTGGATACCTAGAGGCGTCAAGTTCTAGAATCCCTGACAACAATTAGGATAATGCCCATGATGTATTGAAGGTAATTATTGTAATTATTCATATCTCATATTTTAACACGGTTGAACGGTGGTAATGTTTAATGAAGTGAATCCGAGCTTGCTTAATCCGCCCTTCTCTTCATAAAGACACACACACACACCCTTTCCAATTTGTCCCAAAAATCTGTATCTGTGAAGCTACTCTCTACCCCCCTACCCTCAAACACCTTCCTTCATTTTTTTTAAATAGCACTTGTGAATACGAGTCTAAACTTTGCAATCATAGCTAGCAGACGTTGAAAACCGAGCCGTGGGTCGAGAATGAAATAATGATCTAAAAATAAACGACCGTCACATAAAAAAAAAAACGGGGAACCTTTTTTTAAAAATATATTTAAACTCATAGACCCACAGTCTAGTCTAGATTTAGATCTAGATTTGGACCTAATCTTAATTTTTTGGTTAGCATTCTATTATTTGTAGCTCTTTCCCATCTTATGCTGGATAGTTTCTAGATCTATAAATGTTTTGAATTTAGATATAGAATAGAATTTATGAGACGTCAGAATGAATATAGATCTGAATTGTAAGTCAACATCATACTGGAGTGTAGATCTAGATCTTAAAGCTACATCAGACAGGAGTCAATATGTAGATCTAGATTTAGACTCTCTAGACCAGGTGTAGATCTAACTAGATCTAGACCTAGATCTGGATAGTTCTTATTTTATAAAATCAATATAGTCCGAAGTCTATATCTTAGATCTAGAAATTCTAGATCTACATTATTCTAGTTCTAGATCATACAGATATACAGATTTAGATCTACGACAGAGGGCAAGGTCTACATCTAGATGAAAACTTAGAAGTTAGATGTAGATCTAGTCTATATCTTATTTAATGAGCCGGTTGAGAGAAAAAGAGAGAGAATAGAATCTAGATCTAGACTAGATTTTTATAGATTATGGAGTTAAGATTTAGACTAGAATCTAGAATCTACATTCCAGATCTAGATAACTAGATCTAGACCTAGTCTAGATCGGCTAGATTGGCGCTTGATCTAGACTCTAGTCTAGATCTAGATTAATAGATTCGTTCTAAGCTCAGTATTTTTTTCCTGCTCAGTAAATACAACATCTTTAGACTCTTTCAATACTTTCATCGATAATAACTTAGGCCTATGAATTATGAATTAAAACTTCATTAACCCCCCCCCCCCCCCAAAACCCAAAGCCGGCTATTTTGACTCTAATAACAAAGAGCTAGATCAAGTAGATCTACATCTTAGACACCTAAACTAGATTCTATATCTAGATCTAGATCTAAGTTTAAGAAACTTGGATCAGATCTAGATCTAATCTAGATTCTATTTTTATCTAAGTTAGATCTTCTGGGTTAAGATCATGACTAGACTAGGTCTAGATTTTAGAAACTAAGAAACTAGTCTGTCTAATTTGTGAGTAAAAAAAATAACTTACCTGACTATCATGGTGAACTGTTAAATCTCACCCACCGTGACAATGTAATCCAAAAGTTTAAAAAGAAATCCAGGGAAGTGGCTTTTCATAAATTTAACGTTGTGTTTTATTCTAGATCTAAACTTTGGTTCATAAAACACAAGTAACAATTTATCAGTCAAGCTGCCTAACTTGAGGCCATGGCTTGATGAACGAGAGAAAGGATCTTTCTTTTTTTTTTCCCCCTCCTCTCTCTTCTCTCTCTCTCGCTCCTTCGCTCGAAGGATACCGAAGCTAGGCGAAGCGGCCACAGCAGACGACTTTGTAAACCGGTACAGCCCTCGTCATAACAGAAAGCGGGTGCCTTACTAGCCGACTTGCCCTCTCCCCGTTAGGAACGGATTTCGAGTGTCCCTCAGTTTATGGGCAAGACGACCAGTTCAAAATGTGCCGACGTCTGGGGGTGTCAGGTTAAAAAAAAAATATATGGGCCAAAGTAAAAAAAAAGTTTCACAACAAAATAGGAAGTTGGAGGAGGAAATGAAAAAAAAAAAGATTACTAGAGCAGATAGACCAGACACTCTGATGGGACTATATAGGAGAGAGAGGGGGGGGGGGTTAGGGCAGGGTCGTATCCATGAATACATAAAGAGCTATTATAGATATACATCTTTATGTTTGACTATATGCCTAGAATAGACATTTAATAGCGCAGTGACATTTATAACAAACGAATATTCACACTTGATTAGAGTAACACCTTTAGTAAAATCACTAAATTTAGAAAGCCTTCAGGATAGAGGGCCCTATACACAGTAATGTAACAATTATACATAAAACATTGAACCATAATGTTCGGGTGCAGAAACAGGGCATTTTAGAATACTCAGAAGGACAGCAAGATAAAGGCACATTCCTCGTCCCATATGCTAGGACAAATTTGTACAGATGCTCCTTCTTCCCTAGTGCTATTAGAGAATGGAATGGGTTGCCTGAGTCACCCAGGAAAACCAACGACTTGGCAGAATTTAATTCATTGGCTAACATGCATGACTAGATTGACCTAGGGATACGCCTAGGACGTAATCGTCTTTGTTTTTTTGACGTAACGTCTGTATTATATAAGATAAGATTATTTGTCAGGAACGGCTGCAATTTATTAGATAAAATTTTAAAGTAAACCACATATCACAAATATAGTGAATCCTGCATAATGGGAAAAAAAAAAGATTTTGAGAACCACGCCTAGCGTTCATCTAATAATTGCTAAAGAAAATTGAAAAGGAAAGATGTGCATATAGATCTAGAAATCTTATCTCCTTATCTTATAAAATACAGACGTTACTTCAAAAAAAAAAAAGAAGGATTAACAATCCCTTTCATTTTTTTAAATAGAACATGAAATGTTTCTTTTCGTTCGTATGGCGACATTTAAAACATTTATTTCCCCCTTGTGGTAGTAAAGTTCCCCTTTCAGACCCTGCAATATATAGGGCAGATTATGTTATGGTCATCTGTTTCTTTGGCCAATGATTCACCTTTTCTTTCTCCAATTAAAGTCAGGAACTCATTAGAGTTGGGTTAACTCAGTGGGCACCCTGAAAATCCCGAATTGCGAAATAAAAGTCTTCACCAGGATTCGAACCCACTACCCCAGGTTCGGAAGACAAGCCTTTTCGGGATCTTTGGGCGCCTCTGAGTCCACCCAGCGAAAAGGATTTAATTGGGAGTACAGATCAAAGCTGGCTGATCAATAGACTTGAGATGAGTTTTAAAAAAGCGCAAAGTCACTGACCTAGAGGCTAGTCTCTTGTATGACGAGAGAAGAAAAAGTCCAATCTTCAAAGTACAATATTATTATAGTCCTTGATAACTTTAAGAAAAGAAAAAAGAATGATGAATTAATTTTTGAGAAGCGATCCGTTCTTCTGTGTCCTTGCTGGCCACTGAAATCTACACTGAAATCTTAGTGCCGAGAAAATAGCCATCAATTTTTTTTTTCGGCTTAGACTGTCAGATAGGAATCACAACAGTGGAGCAGGGATTTTGACTTTTGTGAAAGAGATCTTATCTCGTGTGATCTTATGTGTACTTTAGTGTGAACTTTATCTTATATCATATGGTCTTAATTGTAATTTAGTGTGATCTTATCTTTGTGATCTCATGTGTAATTTAGTGTGATCTTATCGCTGTGATCTCATGTGTAATTTAGTGTGATCTTATCGCTGTGATCTCATGTGTAATTTAGGGTGATCTTATCGCTGTGATCTCATGTGTAATTTAGTGTGATCTTATCTCTGTGATCTCGTGTAATTTAGTGTGATCTTATCTCTGTGATCTTATGTGTAATTTAATGTGATCTTATGTGTTATTTAATGTGATCTTATGTGTAATTTAATGTGTTCTTATATGTAATTTAATGTGATCTTATGTGTAATTTAATGTGATCTTATGTGTAGTTTAGTGTGATCTTATCTCTGTGATCTTATGTGTAATTTAATGTGATCTTATGTGTTATTTAATGTGATCTTATGTGTAATTTAATGTGTTCTTATATGTAATTTAATGTGATCTTAAGTGTAATTTAATGTGATCTTATGTGTAATTTAGTGTGATCTTAACTCTGTGATCTTATGTGTAATTTAATGTGATATTGTGTTCTGCGGTGGGTGTGGCAAAGAATGTAGGTGGCAGCTTGGGATGAGTATACACGAGAAATACTGGATTCCTAAATAATCTTCGGACTCGAAGGCAGGTATTATTATTATTATTATTATGTGTACTTAAGTGTGATTTTATCTCGTGTGATCTTATTTATCATTTAGTTTTATCTTATCTCTTGTGAACCTATGCGTAATTTAGTGTAATCTTATCTCTTGTGGTCTTACATTAAGACATCTTGTGAAATCATGAGCAATCTTGCGTGATCCTTCCAGACCTTAAAGACCCACATTTCAAGATGGCCGCAACTCTTTTTCTTCAGGAAAGTCTCTCTTGCTGGTACAACTAAGACAATATTTTTTGGTTGTACTGTACATTTATTTCGCGAAATAAGATCAGTGTGGCACCATTGCTGACACTTTTACAACCTCCAGACTTACCCGTCTCGGTCCACTCTTTAACACTTGAGACTGATGTGTTGGTAGAACGTTATTTTTACAAAGCTTTTATCAAGTCTGTCTATCTGGTAAAAATTGTGTACACGTTATTTCTCCCACACACGTTCTCGAATTAAGCTGAAACTTCGCACAATTATTTATTGACATAGACAAGACATGAATCAATTAAAAAAAATAAATATTAACCAATCAGACAATTAATTGCTGGTAATTTATTGTTTGGTTTGATACCAACAAGGGAAATTAATCCTTCAGTAATTACAGATAAGGTTAAATTTGTTGGCTTAGTCCCCTTGAATAATTGTTAGCGCTATTTCTCCCCCACGCATTCTTCGATCTACTAGATACTTTAACTCTTTCTCTACTAACTTCTTATCTTATCTTATATCTTATATAATACAGACGTTACTTCAAAAAAGAAGATGATTACGTCCTACGCGTCATGCATTTAGTCATGCATATTAACCAATGACTTAAATTCTGCCAAGTCACTGTTTTTTCTGGCTAGCTCAGGCAACCCATTCCATGCTCTAATAGCACTAGGGAAGAAGGAGTATTTGTACAAATTTGTCCTAGCATAGGGGACAAGGAATGTGCCTTTATTTTTGTGTCTTTCAGAGTATTTTATAAAGTTTTGTTTTTGTATTTGAAGATTATGGTTCAGTGTTTTATGTATAATTGCTACTTTAGTCTTCTGTCCTGAAGGCTTTCTAAATTTAGTGATTTTACTAATGGTGTTACTCTAGTCAAATGTGAATATTCGTTCGTTATGAATCTCACTGCTCTATTTTGTGTTTGTTCCAGTTTCTTAATGTTTTCTTGAGTTGAGGGGTCCCAAACGGTGGATGCATATTCTATTATTGGCCTAACCAAGGTTAAATAACATTTTAGTTTTATGTTCTTATTTGATTTATAGAAATTTCTTTTAATAAACCCTAATGCTTTGTTGGATTTTTTTGTAGTTTCATCAATATGTGGATTCCATGACAGTTTTTCATTTATTATAACACCTAGGTATTTTGCGTTTTTAGTCTGTGTTACTGGTTTGCCATGAATAAGATAAGTGGAATTAATTTGTTTTAGTTTTTTGTTACTCTTATCAACTGACATTTTTCTGGGTGGAAAGACATGCTCCAATTTGATTCCCATTTCTGTAATTCATCTAATTCTCTTTGTAAAATATCTGTGTCTTGTGTTGTTTTTATTGTTCTATATATTATGCAATCATCTGCAAATAATCTGACTTTTGTTCCTGAACTAATGCAATTTGGTAAATCATTTATGTAAATTAAAAATAGTAGTGGACCCAAGACTGTTCCTTGAGGTACACCTGAGTTTACTGTTATTGGTGTTGATTTAGAGCCATTTATTGTTACCGTCCTGATGTAAACTGAGGTAACCCACACGGTACACAGTGCCATGATGCATCTTTGTTGCCTAAGGCATAATACACAGGTGTATTCATATGGAGACATGATGCATGGTACCATTCATCGCAGGTGTCACATTGAATGGCTTTCTGTTTCATGGTGCATACTTTTTTGCAGATGTTGCATCTATGACGATAACAACGTTGATTCCACCAGAATGTGGTAAATAATTACGGAGAGAAAGAGTTAAACAACTATTTATTGTACCTAACAAGACAAGAATCAATAAACGAAAATACTCAATTAGTCAATTATTTATTGGTAATGATCTATTTTGTTCAAACAAAATCTAATAAGGAAAATAGCTTGTATATTATTAAAAGTTATAGTGTTAAGAGCGGAGTTGTTTCCCTTTAGATAAGCTTTGTTTATTCCTTTTTTTTTTAAAGGATTTTAAAAATATTTTGCTTGTTTAGATTTTGTCTATTGGGTATTAAATCGGCGCCCTCACGTTGAAAGAAATAATGCCACGCCCCTGTCATTGTGTTGTGTAAGTGTTATTGCACTGATGCAGGTAACATCCCGAGTGACTATCGTTGTTTCTGACTCACCTGTGAGGCCAGAGTGACGTCAGTATACATGGCAGAATAGGTTTGAAATGTTAGAATGGCATTCCATGGAACACATACACACACACACACGATGAGACAATGTCCAGCTCATCTGTGCCAGGTTAGTTAGGTAAGGCCACCTTATCAGAACGCCACAGTCGTCACTCAACCATTGCTATTTGAATTGTTTCTTTTACTGACAGGTTCTTCCAAAGCATTAGATCTCGTTAGTAAGTAGGCCTGTACTGACAGATGCTTCCAAAACAGTTGATCTAGTCAGTAAGTAGGCCTGTACTGACAGGTGCTTCCAAAACAGTAGAT